ATGGCATTGGCACGCGCGGGGGATGGAAACAACACAACTACCGGTCAGGACCAAAGAAATTGAGTTTGACAAGAGGACGAGACACACACACACACACCTCCTCGTGTGTCGCCATCTGCTTCTCCCCAACTACCATTCCAACTTTCAACTTTCAACCTAATATACTTAAAAACATTCACTATATATAAATATACATATATATATATATTATCATTGAAAATTAAAAAGAAAAAGAAAACGTTTTAGTTTTCTTCCATTGTTACTAGCCTTTTTTATTATTTTTTCTTTTTGAAATGACATTTTCTCAACCTTCTTGAATCCTAATGTTGAATAATAATAATAATAATAGTGGTACTTGACTTGGCTCAATTAATTTACTCAATAATTTTAATAATTTGGCTAAGTTCATGAACAAGTTTAGGAATTGTGAAACACGAGTGGACTTTTTGTTTTGTTATTTTATTTTGCGTTGCACGTCTTCACAACTTGTTCTCAAGTAGACATTGACAAAGCACGCAAGATAGAGTTGGGAAGGAAGCCTAACGAAAGTTAAAAAGAAAAAAGGGGAGGGAGGGTGGTGGTGGTGGGAAAGATGGCAAGTTTTGGTGGAAGGAAAGTGTGTAATTATGATCAATTTTGTCATGAATACTATTGGAGTGTCCTAAAGTAAAGTCTTCATTTTCATGGGTTCAAAAATAATTGTAACTTTATGGGTTTCAAAAGGTTCTTGATGAAGATAATCTTACCTTTTTCAATGATAAGGAAATATACATTTGAAGATTTGTTACTTCAGAGATGTCTTAATTTTAGAGGTAATCTGAGTTGTTTTTTTTTTTTTAATCTCTAAATAATAATAATAATAATTTATTTAAATTTTATTTTAAAATAATAATTATTTTTCATATAAAAAATAAATATTTTTTTCCTATCATTATCTTTTTATTTTAATTATTTATGATATATATTGTAATTTAAAGTCTTATTTGTCTCTAAATTCTTAATCGAAAAAACAAAATCAAAAAGTGTTAATTATTGTGGGATGAAGAGAGTAATTAGAGGCATTTGGAGTGTGTTTGAAAGTTGAGAGATAGGGCTTGAGATAAGGGTGCTTCATTTCTTATTTTGCAACCATGCATCAATGTAAGAAAAGGAAACTAAAAAGGAGAAAATGTTAAAATCCTCAATCTCAAGAACCCAAGAAGAAAGATTAGAAATATTGCCATTTTGTCTGCTACCTCCTCTTTCTCAATCCGTACCTCATTCTCTAGATAAATTCTGCCACGTCATTGGGGTGCATGGGAGACATGGTATTACCAAGTCTAGATTAGAAGCAAATGAGCTATTACATATCGAAGTATAAATTTATTTACATATAAATTTTATATGATATATTTATATAATATTTTTATTAAATTTTAATTATTAAAAATAAAAATAAAAAATAAAAATTTTATATAAATATAATATATAAAATTTATTCCTAAACAATATCTTCCCTGCATATAATATGAAGATGACATCTCATGAATTTTTGCCTCTCATGCAGAAGGGTCCTACTGAGGTTTTGAGCCTTTGTCGAGAGGGTATCACACCGACACATTCATATGAGAGTGGATAATTATCGAGTTTTTTTATTATTATTATTATTGGCTAAAATATAGCATCACAATTATCGTTGTGTACCATGGAATTTAATTTTCTACTCTTTCAATGCAAAGTATTTTTACTTTTAAGGGAAAGAAGTTTTATGTTTTGAGCTGCAAACGACCATACAACAATAACCGTTAATGAAAAGAGAAATTTTTTTTAT